GCCAGCCTGAGCACTCAGTGAGACCCTTTCTCAAAATAAAAATAAGCTAGTAAAACAAAAAAGGCCGTGGATGTAGCTCAGTGGTAGAGTGCCCCTGGGTTAAAACCCTAGTAATAAACAAACAAACAGACAAATCTTGTATGGGAACTACTTATACTAAAAAGGTTTCCTCGTTTATCTGAAATTCAGATTTCACCGGGCATTGTCCCAAATGTTGCAAGGGACATAATTTATGCTAAAAGTTACTTGTTATTTATCTGAAACTCAAATTTAAATGGACAGCATGTGTTTTTATTCCCTATCTCTGGCAATATCTCCTCAGCTCTTGGGTCACTCCCAAGTCCACCTGGCCTGAGTGAAAGACCTGGACTCCCTCTCACCCCCACAAGCAGCAGCAACAGGGCTGCAGGTCCCTCCCCTCCCCAGCCCGCTCCTCCACCTCACCACTGCAGGAGATGGGGGAGCCAGGGCTCTCTCTGCTAGAGCAGAAGGAGGCCTGGAGGTCCTGCAGCCTCACCTTCCCTAACAGGAGACACAGAAGCCCACCCTGAGCAGGGGCCATGCTTGACCCAGGCTGGTAGAAGAGGCCCTCCCTAAGCTCTCCAGCCTGTAGGTTGCCCAAATGCAGAAGAGGGACTGATCAGGACCCTAGGTTACATGCGTGAGCATCAGTGCGTGTGTGCAGGCACACATGTGCTCACACATGTGCAGTCGGGTGGAGGAACAGCTTCCTGTCTGTCTCATAGCACTTTCCCATGAGCCTCTCTAGGGCTCTCTGCCAGCTCAGCCTCTGGGCTGATTTCCTGGACCTTCTCAAATAGGTGAGCAAAGTTCTCACTTCTGCCCACTCCGTGCACCTCAGTACTGGTATCAGACAGTGGGGAGGCCCGTGGATTGGGGTTCCAGAGAGCCTGAGGTCAAATTCTAGCTCCGAGGTTCACTAGCTGTGTGACCTTGGGCAGCTTAATTTCTCTGTAAAATGGGGTTAATAAGAACTACCTCAGGATGAGGTTGAGAGTTTCATGCTTGTACCTGGTGCTGTACTTGGCCTATGACAAAGGCTCAACAAATAGAAACAATAATAATTATTTGGTTGACACTGTAGAGCTGCACCCAGCCCAGGGCTTCAGGAAAGAAGGAATGTGATTACACTCCTTGGGGAGTCAAGTTCTAGTTGCCCATTCAGCAGGGAGTTGTAGAGGGCAAGGCCTAGTCCTGCCTGACAGCCAGGCCCCAGTCCAGCCCCCTGGCTCCTGCATGCAGTGGGCTGCTGGGCCTTCTCCACTTTACCCAGTAAGGATTGGTATGGAATCTGGGCCCACTTCCCCTGCATTTTCCTGCCTTGAGGCCCTCACTCATGATATCCTGCTTCTTCCTTCTCCTGGTCTAAACCCTACCTTTCTTTAAGAAAGTCATCTCAAAATTTTCTTTGTGGTGGTCCTAAGCAGGACTCGGGACTTAGGGGTCTGTCTAAGATGGTGACCCCACTAAGAAGGCCTCCCCAGGGGCGGGAGGATGGTGTGGACATCTGCTGGTGACAGGTGAAAGGGGGAGGGATAAGAGCTCTTGCAGTGATCGGATGGATGGTCTCATGTCATTCTTTTTAATTTCTGTTTAGGGTTCAATTATGAGCCTGTGTACATTTATTTAATTAACTTCTACCTAAGGAATATATTGCTTATTTGCATCAGTAACATTGCAATAGATATCACACTTAATACTAACACTACTCAATAATTTAATTTTTTAAAAAGGCCCTAAAACATGAATGCACTTATGAATAAATGAATCACCTGAAAATTAGATTAAAATTCAGGCTCTGATTTAGTAAGTCTGGAGTGGGGCCTAAGAGTCTGCATTTCTAACAAGCTCACAGATGACTAAGTGGATCATCCCTGTATCACATGCTGTGAAGCAAAGGCCTAGAGAAGAATTGGATATGTCCACTGTTGCCCTAGTGGGAGTGGGATGATGGGGCCAGCATGACCAAATTGGGTTACATAACCCTAGGCCTCTTGAAAGGGGTGGTCAGGCAGGTATGTAAATGCCAGAGACTGTTGATGGAGTGGGGGTGAGGTATTCTGGGAGGGTTCCATGTTGGTGTAGCAATCAGTGAGGCACATAAGCAATAATTTTGTAGAGGGTGCCAATGATGGCATCATTGTTAGGGATGTGTACTTTGGAGCTGGATTGTCTGGGTTTGAATCCCATCTCTACTATGTATCAGATATTTGACCTTGGGCAAGTTGCTTAACCTTTATATACCTAATTGTTTCTCACTTGCAGAGTGTGAAGCTTGCAAATTATGAAAATAAAATAAGTGACTTGATGCTTAAAACCTTCTTAGAACATAAATGCACACTCAGTCGGTGGGGGCTGTAACTACACAAGGAACTGAAATTCAAGCAGGGCCGTGTGGTGGAGACTCTGTTCCACGATGGTCAAGGTCCAGGCAGGGTAGATCTGCCTTCTAAGTATCTGCTGATGTGAACATTAAGGGGAATGGAGCTCTTTCAAAGAATACCACGTCTATGGCTGGGTGAGCTGCATGGTGATGCAGTTTTCACGAAGGCCAGGCAGTGTCTCGGTTTCCTGTGTGGGTGGTTGTCATTCTCCAGGCTTGGTTTTCTAAATAGGCAGGAGATAGGAGTGAGATGACACTGATATGCCATCTGTAGTTTCTGACTGGTAGGAATTCAAGCACACTGAGGGTGAGGCTGGAATGAGAGGTTACTTGTGTGCAGGAAGGAAACAAAGAAGCAGAATACTTTATGAGATGCTAAAGAGACCCCCCAGAGCTTCTGCATAACTTAACTGTGCCCTCCAGGCACTGTGCTATCCAGATCAAGAGCAACAGGGATTACCATTAGAACAGGGTGCTTTTGGGGACTGGACACTACTGCATCAGTCAGGTTCATTTCCTGAGTTTCTAGAGCAAATGAGATGGATATGGCTGCCCCTTTCTGGACATAATCATTATGGAAAGCAACTCTCTCTTTGCTGATCTTCTGCCTCCAATATTACCCTTAGCCAATACCTACATGGTCTCTTAGGGGATCTTTTTAAAGCAAAAATCTAGCCATGTCCTTCCTTAGCTCAAAACTCTCCAGGAGCTTCCTATTTTCTATAACATGGCATTGCTTATGAGATCCTTCAAACTTCTCTGTACACTTCTCTCATTCTTTCCCTCATTCCTCCTTCTGGAAGCCCTACCTGTGTGCTTTCAGGACCCCTACAAGGCTACACTCCCTGTTTCCCACATACTGTTGCCTCTGCTTAGAGTTCTTCCCCCGCCCTTTCTCCCTGACTGATCCTGCTTGGCCATCAGTTCTCGATGTAAACACCGCTTTCTCCTGGAGGCAGTGTCTGACACCATGGGGCAGGTACCATAGTGCTTCATTGTGACTCTCGGTCTGGCTCCCACTGGACTGTAGGGCTCCAGGAGGAAGGACTCAGATGCTTTCTTCTTAGCAGCTGCCCTTTCTCAAACACTGCTTCTGGGACAGAATTATTAGGGTTTTCTGTCCAAGTCCCCTAGAAGCTCCCATGGTAGCCTCTCTTGAGAGGAGGTGGTCCCCACGCCTTTCTGTGCCTAGAAACACCTGGGGCGTTCTTTAGGGACACATTCCCAGGCCCCGCCCCCATCCTTCTGAACTCTCCCAGGGAGGGCTTGGGAGTCAGTATTTTCACAATGATTCCCAGGTGATCTAATCAGTTAGACCATGAAGGATGAATGATGACCACCAGAGGACCCTGTCTGGTGTGACAGACCCTGCCAATAGAGGGTGCTGCCTGAGGCGTTTTTGGTCCCATCAGGTCAGGATTGATGTGGGTGGAGGGTCTTCTCTAATTGCAGCTTTCAAGGGATTCCCTGGTCAGTTTGCACTTACTGCCAAGGCTGCATGTCAGTCTGTCCACCCAGAGCTCTCTTGCTGGAGATCTTGGGTGGGGGGCGGGGAGCTTTCTCCCAGGGGTTCAAGAGACTTGAAAGGGAGGATACTGGCAAAATTGACTTAGGGAAGAGAAAGAAGCTGCACCTTCTACAAATTGATCTGTACTGTTGGGATGATAGAAAGTCACCTCCTCTACCCTTCATCCTGTGTGCCTGCGTGGGACAGCCATGGTTCAGGCCCAAGACCCCTTCAGGATAATAAAGTCCAGGAGTAGATCCATGGGTCATGGCTCAGCTTATCTGGGTCCCATGAGACCAGCTACATGGGGTGATAGCCTAAGTCCCAGTCTGGAAGGCAGAGACAGTAGCACACTGATAAAAGATATCATAACTTAAGCACACATGTAAAAAGCGAAGACAGGCAGTCTCCTTGTTTGCTGAGCTACCAGGATCTACAGACCACATCAGAAATCCTTGAGTCAGCCTGGAATCTCTGGTTGTGCACAGGCAAGACCACCTCCCATCTGTCTGGGGGAATCAGCAAACCAAGTGTTTCAATCAACCCAGCAAGAAACTCCAGGACTTTGGCAGAAGCCCCCCGGAACTCCTGGGTCCTTGAGGGGACAAGGAACAGTTGGTGCTAGGGGTGGGTGATAGAGAATGGCTTGTGTCTTTGGGGAAGCATTTTTCTTTGGTTGGGTACAGAGGGAGATTTCCCACTGTCGATGGTGGGGACATCTCTATTATATGGCCTTAAAGTCGACAAGGTTGAAAAAAAACAATGTCACCCTCAGGAGAGCCATGGCATAGATTTGGAAGCCTGGGGGGAGGGGTGGTGGGGGAATACTGGTTATCCACAAATAGGCTGTGGGTTCAACCTTGGGTCTGAGAGGAAGAATTAGGATCATAGATAGAAATGTCTGACATAAAAGGGACAAGAAGTGGTTTGACATAGAGACCAAACAGGGGAACTTAAAGAAGTGGGATACAGGGTTAATAGTAGCCAAGTTTCAACTTTAGTCCCAGGATGGTTTGGAGGCCATTATTGAACTAGAGATTGATCTGCAGCCTTCCCTTCACTGACCCTCTTCCTCCTCTCTCCCACCAGGCGCCTGGATGCCAACCTCATCTCTCTGGTCCCAGAAAGGAGCTTTGAGGGGCTGTCCTCCCTCCGCCACCTCTGGCTGGATGACAATGCACTCACAGAGATCCCCGTCAGAGCCCTCAACAATCTTCCTGCCCTGCAGGCCATGACCCTGGCCCTCAACCGCATCAGCCACATCCCTGACTACGCCTTCCAGAACCTCACCAGTCTTGTGGTGCTGTGAGTGCTGTCCTGGCCCCATCCCTGGCTGCGTCCTCCTGGGCCTGGAGGCTGCATGTTTTCTCAAGTTGGACGGGAAGCCTGGCTAGCTTTGCTCTTCTCTGCATGTTGCTGAACATCCTAGTCTCCTTTTCTCCTTTGTACGAGGGATGAGGATGTCTATCCTCCATTGACCACATTAGATTATCATGAAGTAAAACGACGTTATACCTATTGAAGGGCTCCAAGAGTCACTATAGTGCCAGAATACTATAACCAGAAAACAGGAATTAAGCTATCATTTTCTCACTATGTACATATAACAAGTCTACCATGCTAGTTGGAATAGAAAATAAGAATTTCTTAACTAATTTCTATCATATTTGATGATCAAATGATGCGGTCGTATACTCTGGCACAGAGATGGGATAAATTCACCTCATTCTGTAGGTCTAAAGAAGCAAAAAAAGCCATAACTTGTAATTAGACAGCAAAGCCCCATCAGGGTAATTACCTGGGAGATAGCATCCCTGGCAGGAATTGGGGACTGGGGTGAACTCTGCCTTCCCAATGGGAACTTTAGAGTGCAAATTAGCTACCAGCTAATTGCTATGAATGATTGGTAAGTTCATAGGGTAATTACTAAGGGCTTGGAGGTCATGTGTAATTGCTTTGAGTTACACACTAATTGCTACAGGAACATGTGTGTTGGTGACTCTGCTAAGTGGCAACATTACTTTCCCTGCTCTTGGAAATCTGGTGTGATTTTCCAAGCCAGGGAATGAATGATGCTTAGTTATATTTCAGAGATGAAAAGACAGGCACTGATTTGTTTGTCTAATTCTCTGTTCTGGGAGATTAGAGAACCAAGATGAATATTCTTAGGGAGCACATACTTCTCTCAAGACGACCACATCCTCCCCACTCCTGGGAGCTGGTGACATGTTTCTGGAGGATCAACAGGACAGGGTGATTGGTCTCAGCTTTGGTGAGACCCGTATCCCTGTGACTTCATGAGGGAATGAGGTCAGGCTCCATGGGAGACTACTGGAAGACTGAGAACTTCATCATGGGTCTCAGACAAATGGGCAGCCGCAGGTACTTATAGAGCTCCTATGTGGACATTGAAGAGCCACAGGATGATGACACATAGCTGTTTCCCCCAAGGGGCAATAGCAGAACAAACGTGGGAACAGATAGCTGAGATGTTGTATAACTGATGTTAACATAGCCAGTTGGCAAGTGTAGGTTGGTTCTCGGTAGCATAAGAATAGAAAAGAGGCTGACGCAATTAAAAGTGGGGAAGAGGGAAGTTTCACAGGTGAGGTGCAGCTGGTCCTGGACCTGGAAAAATGGTGGATTTAGATGAGCAAAAAGTATAAGAGCATTGAAGTCAGGGGTGTGCAGCTACCTGTGAATAGTCCAATATGGCAAGCAGAGAGTCCTCAGGCAGAGTGTGGAGAAGAGGTTAGTGATGGGAGTTTGGGGACTCACAATGTCAGGGCAGGGAGTTTGGCTTTCATCTGCCAGTGAGAGAGGGGAATTTGAAGCCTTTCAGGCCAGAGTTAAAAGAGAGTATTTTAAGAAAGTCGATGTGAAGGATGGATGAGAACAGGGGCAAATCAGTTATAGGGAGATCAGTTCAGAGGCTCTTAGGCATCAAAGTCCAGGTTAGGGAGGGGGCAGAAAGCCTAGAAGGAAAGGCAGGCTGTAAGCAATTTTTTGAATGGAAAATTGGTCTGGTTTACTGGGGTCAGAGGTTGGGAGACCAAGAGGAAAAGGAGTCATGGGTGACTTCATGGTTTGGCTGGGAGGCAGGGTGTTGGCATGAAAGTCAGGCCTGTGGGAGAGTTAGGAGGCATGGGGACCCACTGGGCATAAGGAGGGACAAGGGACTAAGGGGGAAAAGTACTGGTGCAGGAGCAAAGCTGAAACAGAACTAGACTCTAGAATGGTGGAGTTTAGTGGCAGTTGGGATAGAGATGTGAAGAAAATGAGACAACTAAAAACCCCTCAGGAAGGGGGCGTTTATTCCCAGAAAACAAGGGCTGTTTTCTCTACTGGAACAGAGGCTCCCTGTGGGCAGGAGTCTGTTGCCCGCTCTGGAACTGACTGAGATTTAAATCCCAAGGCTCACAAAACTCCTGTCCCCTGTCCTCCTCCCTGCATCTAGGGATGAGTCTTACCTGTGGTCTTGGTATCTGAGCAACATCTTAAGAGGCCAGCCTGATTTTTACCCCTTGGAAGTGATTTTTCTCTTCTGACTAAAGTTTACTTATTTGTTTGTCTTCTGGTGCTGGGTATTGAACTCAGGGGTGCTCAACCATGGAGCCACATCCCCAGTCCTTTTAAAAATACTTTATTTAGAGACAGGGTCTTGCTGGGTTGCTTATGGCCTTGCTAAGTTTCTGAGGCTGGCTTTGAACTCACAATCCTCCTGCCTCAGCCTCCCAAGCTGCTGGGATTCCAGGCATGCACCACGTACAGCTTGAAGATGTTTTTAAATTCTTGAACTTTAATAATGTAACTTCAATATGTCACAGAAGATTAGACATCCTGCATCTAATTTTCCTGGAGCAATGTATACTTTTGAGTTGCAGGTTTCATCTTCCTGGAGATTTTTTTTTTCATATTTTGTCTTTAACTATATCTTCAGTCTCATTTTTTGGATTCTTTCCTTCAGAAATGTCAGTTACTCTGATTGACTCCCTTTGCATCACATTGATCAGTTACTGTTTTATCTCAAGCTTTCTCTCTGACACTAAATTTATTTCAGCAGTGATGCTGCTGCTCCTTCTTTCAAATTTATTGACTAATTTTTCTTTTAATAATGATTTGAGGTCCTCAGGGTTTTTTTTTTTTAATCTAGGATGGTCATTTTCTTTTCATTAAAAATTCTGTCTTTGAAATGCTGTTTGGGTTGTTTTGTCTCAACAGGCACATGTAATCTATTGCCTTCTGTTCCTCATTCATTAGTGATATTTTCCTTTTTCTGACTGTGTGTGGGGAGCTGTTCAGCTGTTCTGGCAGCATCGTCTTTGGGCTCTGTTGGTTCTCCCCTCCAAGCTTCACTGTGTGCACTGAGTACCAAGGATGAATTAGGTTCTGTCCCCTACTTTGGTGGGATGGTGAAGGGTGGGGATATATTTTGAGGCAGCATCCAATCTTTGTTAAATTCCTTGGACTCTGCTTTCTCTGCCCAGGTTGTGGGCAGAGTTCATTCCCTCTGCTCAAAAATACCTCGAGGCTGGGCGGGGTGGTGCATGCCTGTAATTCCAGCTACTCAGAAGGCTGAGGCAGGAGGATCTCAAGTTCAAAGCCAGCCTCAGCAACTTAGTGAGACCCTGTTTCAAAATAAAAAATAAGAAGTACCAAGGATGTAGCTCAGTGGTAGAGCACCCCTGGGTTCAATCCTTAGTGCTGGGGAAATCCCCCCAAAAAACAGAAACCTCAAAGCCCCTTTGGCTTTAAGCTATTTTCTGCATTCTGTAAGTAGTCTGAAGCCTTTCTTTTCCTTTTCCTTTCCCTTGTTCCTTTTGGAAGCCAAAGGTAGAGAGGAAAAACAAGGACACTCATATATGCAATTCTCTTGGACGTGGGTTTTAGGGAGAGTTCTTAGATTTGGCTTCTGGTAAAAGGAGCTGATCCGCTATAGACTGTTCCTTTGGTCATCAGTTTTTGCAGGGTCCTTACAGTAGGCTACCTGTCTTTCCTGGCTTTGTTGCTACTGTTAATATTTGGAAGGTGGGGTAGGGTCTGGCTTTTGCTATTTTTTTTCCCATTAGGAGTTGGGAGAAGAAAATTCGGTCACTTATTTTCAGTTAGCTATTTATCTTGGAAATCTCCCCTGAAATGCTCTCCTTCCTCTCCTCAACCCACACCTGCTCTAGGCAAGCTCTTTACCACCCTGTGCAGAGAGACCAGGCTCATTCCCACCTGCTTGCCTCTGAGCACACCCTTACCTGTGCCTGGACCGCCCCTCCCTCGGCTCCTGGGGCTCACCTATCTTCCTGGCCTTGCTCTGGATCACCACCTCGGGAAGCCTTTCTTGGTTCCTCTGGCCTCACCGATCTCCCCGTTCTCTCAGCGTGTCCGTGGCTCCCTCCAGCTGTTACAGAAAGCTTAGCCTTTAATTATATGTTGTCTGCAGTGGTTTGCTCTTGGCTCCCCTAAGTGCGTCTGGCCACTGAGTCAAGCTGGCCAGGTCCTAGGGAGCAGGGTCATAGACGAAGCCTCAGACGTGAGCCCCTGTGACATCAGGCCTCTCCCAGTGCTTAGCAGGAGTTTGGTTTAGCCTTGGCAGGTCTAGGCCCTCCTCTCCCTTTTTACTTCAATAAGAAGTCAAAACGATGCGATCTGTGGCCAAAGCAGCCCTGGCAATGATGGCTTCAGAAGTCGGTCTTGCCTCCTCCATTGGTCCCTGGAGACAAAGGATTAGACCTGGGGTCTAACTGGGGTCATTCTGTCCATGCTTCTGCCTCCGCTCTGCTACGCTCACCACCGTGTGTTCTCATCCATTCTGGCCCTGGAGTGGTGGCGCTCATTCTGAGGTGTCTTTCCTCCCCGCACAGGCATCTGCACAACAACCGCATCCAGCATCTGGGGACCCACAGCTTCGAGGGGCTGCACAATCTGGAGACACTGTGAGTGGGGGAGTCCTGCTCAAGCCCTGTCCTGCCTGGCGATGAGAACCGCATTCCTGGAGTGGGGGTGGTGGGCACCGGGCAGGGCCAGTAGGTCTGGGATGCTGGGCTGTGGCCCCAGGCTTGCTCGCCCACGTGGCCTTCCCTGGCCTTTTCTCTGGGATGGCACTCAGAATGAATTCCTCCCTCCCTCAGGTGGGTGGGAGGTGCCCTGGGGGAGTTCAGAGTGGCCCTGGGGAGTGGGAATCTAGGGTCCTGCCAGCAGAGACCACCAAAAAACCGCTCGGTTTAGACAGAAACAAGGCTGCAGGGAGTATGAGGATATTAAGCCTGGGGACTAGACGGTTTGGGAGTAATGCCGGGACTGTTTGCCAACTGATCTAACTAGCTAAATGATTAATGGGGGGATGGCCCGTTCAGCACTCCAGTCTGACTATAAAAAGCACCCGAGCTGTTGACTCTTAAAAAGCCATATTATTCACACATCATCATCCTGGAATTCAGTTAAGGTCAAAATGCACCCAAAGCCTCCCATCACTTCCTCTGGAGTGCGGCCAGCCCCCGCAGATCGGGCTGAGTGGGCCCCAATTGAGCAAACAATTGGCTGGCCTCTGTAAGTGTGGCTGCCCATGTCAGCTGGGTTCCTCAGGTCCCAGGAGAGAGCTGGCTACCACTGCCACCTGGTGCAGGCTTGGGAGAGGGGCGCTGGGGAGAGAAGGATCCCCAGGTCACCAAGTGAGCCATTGAGGGTGGGAAGGGCTCACAGCACCAGTAGGATAGTCACAGTTCCTGCCCTCCCCCCCCACACTATATCCCCTTCCCCATAATCAATTCCTCATTTTGCATACACTCCCCACTCCCAAACACACGCCCCAGAGCATCACTCCTGAGGTGAGGGATTTTCAAGAATCCAAAGCAGTGGAAGAGAAAATGCTGGAAGACGGTCGGTGGCTGGGAAGCAACGTGTTGTGGAAAACCATTTGGCAAAGTCTATCCCGAGAGGCCTGGGCACGTGTGTTTGTGCAGGGAGGGGAGTGGAGGCCGGGAGCGAAGTTCCACTCCTCTTTCCTGTGGTGGGGCTCCCAGGAGCGTGGCTGCTCTCTTGGGCTCAGCCTGCAGCAGGACGAATGGCAGAGCGGGGCCCAGCTCCCCGTAGCCTCACTCTTCAGCCAACTCGCTGCAGAGGAGTGGGGTGTGGGGCGACATGCCCTAGCCTGGAGTCAAGAACATCAGAACCTCCTCCCCTGCCACTATGCGTGACTGGGGCTGTGTGCTCCCCCGGCCCCTACTGGCTGCCACAGACAGCTGGACAGTTCAAGCTGAACAGCCTAGCCCACTCCACCACCTTGGGAGAAAACCGATGCCCAGAGAGCTGGCATGACTTGCCCAGAGTAACTCCCCAACTTATGGACAGAGAAAATCTTGGGTGCAATAATGAGAAAACACAGGAAAGTCCCTAGGATAGTGCCCTGACCGCCATCCTCGACCACCTGGTCAGATGGGAACTGTGTGAGCCTACTGTGTTCTAGGTTTGAGAGGCTCCTAAATGTGGGAGATGGCCACTTTCTTGGGGTAGCCCTGACCTCCATTAACCAGACTCCTCCAGGAGACACAAGAGTGCTCGGGCCGTTCTTGGAGTTGCTGTTCATCTGTAGGGCAGGAAGGAATCCAATGCCATTGGCCTTGGGATGGGGCAGGGGATGTTCAGTCTGCTGGGAAGTCAGGTGAGGAGGGGGCACCTACACTGGGTGTGGGTTGGCATCTCTAAAAAGCCAGTGAGCAGCTGCTTCTTTCCTTCTGGGGCACACTGCCTAATTCTTTCTCAATTAGCCACTGGATTGCCGCACAAGGCACTTGGCTCAGCTGGTGCTGGCTGAGTCACAGAGCAATCCTGCCGCTAAGCACCCACGGGACCTTTCATCTATCTACAGGAGTGTTTGGCCCCAACACACAAAGCCCACGGCTGTGCCCACTTTACAGATGGGAACGCCAAGACCCAGAGATGAGGAAAGTTCTCCCACTTCACAGTGTGGAGGCTGAATTGCCAAGTGGCAAAGCCATTGGCAACAGATGACCCGGGGCGCAATGCCATTCTACCAGCTACATGACCTTACTGAAGTCATTGCCTTCTGAGTCTTAGTTTCCTGACCTACAGCACGATGTCATCAGTAACACCCACTTTACAGGGCTGACATGTGCATTCAATGAGATGATGCGTGTAAAGTGGTTACAGAGTCCGGCAGCTGTATCAGAACCTGCCCTGTGTTCCCCGCTCCTTCCCCATCCCCTCTTCTGAGGGCCTCTGTCTCAGCAACACCCCTCTCTTCCCCACCCATGAGGGGTAAACCCTTCTTCCAACTTTTGATCTCCAATTAAAAAGGGGGAAAGTGTGTTCTTTATCCTCTGTTTCCCCAGAGCATTTTCTGGGGAGCCAGATGTGGAGGGGGAGGAGTGGCTGGGAGAATGAAAGGAGAAAGAAATGATAGTCAAACCTTTTAATTGTTGCATAATTGGCACGCTCGGCAGCCTCGGCTATTACTCGGGAGCTTTCATGTGAGCTTCTCACTGGAAGGGTATTTCTCCCTCAGGCCTCGTAAATCTCTGCCACTTAGACCTCTCTCATCTCTGGCAGCAGAGGGAAGATCAAACCCCCACGGCCCAAGCTGTGGTTTGGCTCTAGCTGTGGTTTGGCTCATCTGCAGACTCCTCTTTGGAGGGAGAGGTCCCCCAAGTCTTACCACCTGGGAAGGAGGGGCCAGGTGCGGGCATGCACACTCATGGCCACACAGGCACCCTGAGCAATGCACACGGGTGCACACGCCACATGGCTCCCACCCTTTACAATCCTCTCTCCACATCAACGCCCCCACCCCATGCTCAGCACAGCACAGAGATACCCATAGCAAACGCACCTGCGGAAACACAGCCCCTCTATGCCCCCGGCTCTGCGGGCCAGGCTGCCTGGGTTCCAGCCCTGACTCTGCCTCTGCAAGCTGGGTCAGCCAGAATATATGGCCTCGCCTCTGAAAGTCTCACTTTTTTCACCTGCACAATTAGCTCCCACAAAAGTAAGGGGGAGGGGCTTGGATGTGGCTCAGGAGTAGAGTGTTAGCTTAGCATGCACGAGGCCCTGGGTTCAATCCCCAGAACCACAAAAAGAAAGAAAATCAAGAGGGAAACAGCATCCTACACCAGGGTCTCTCTACCTTCAAAGGAGCCAGGCAAATCTAAGCAAATCCAAGTACTTTGGGCAGGGCGACAGGGCTACTGATGGACAGCATAAATCCCACAAATGCTACATGAGGCCCTGGAGGACAAACCTTGCTACTGTCTGAAGAAGTCTGGCCTCATGGGAAGAGGCTCTGGGGATGTTTCTCCCAGTGTAGTTGTCACCATTCCAGACTGTGCCAAAAAACCTCAGCCAGAGGCAGACAGGGGGGTGCTCTGTCCTGCACCCATGACTTCTTTCAGATCCCACAGTGAAGACAACCCACCACCTGTTGGGAAACTCAGAATCAGAGATGGTCTAGCCCTCAGCCTATGAAATAGCAATTTCTCCACTTTCTAGACCAGACCAAATATACAGACTTGGGGCCAGGTACTCAAGTTTCTATAGTTTTTATGTGATAGAAACCACTAGAACACCTACCTCAGCCTCACAGTACTTTGCTCTATTTGGCACTCATTACCTCAAGCCCAGAGCAGTTAGAGGACTTCCCAGGTATTTAGGTTGAGAGGAGGAATCATGATGTAGAACCACCGTGGAGGTTTCTTCTACTGGGAAGTTTCAGGGACCAGAAATCAGGTGTCAGGACCTCTAGGTCAATGCTTGGAATTGCAGCCTTGGAGACCCCATGCAGCTACCCTAGCCTGACAGCTAAGGAGGCTCAGATTCCCTGTTATACTTAATAAAAATTTCAGTGGAGGAAGTAGAGACATGGCAGTGTAGCTCCAAAGTAAAGTACTCACTTAGCATGCGGGAGGCCCTGGGTTAGATCTGCAGCACCACGAAATCAAAGCGCCCAGCAATCCCAGTTGTATTCTGAGGGGCCTCTATATCTGGAAACTTGAAGTCTGCATCCAATCTGGAATCCAGAGGGGGCAGGTCCCAGCATGCATGTGGGGACAACCGTGCCTCCATTCCTTCAGCCTGGGCAATGATCTCTGGGCCTTGTTATAGCCTTGTTAAACAAATCAGGCCCTACTGGAGCCTGGGCGGGCTGGACATTTTCCCTTGGAGAAGAGCCTGGGTCTTAGTGAGAACAGAAACCTCCTGGCTACAGCGCCTTCTCTAAATCAGGACCAGGATTAAAACAGGGGTCCAGGAGGGGAGGAGAGCAAGGCAGGAATTTATAGAATTCCTCATTCTAACACAAAATTGTATGTTCCCTGTCAGACCTCTACTAGTGACAGATGTCCCAGTGATCTGTTTCTGTGGAACATGGAACATTTTTATTTCAACAGCCATTGTGGCTGGAAAATATTCCCCTGTATCTTTGTCGTTGAAACCACAAATACCAACAGGTTTTACTCTCAACTGGCTCAGACTGGGCCCTGAAAGTATCTGGTACCTCTGTTCTGGGCCTGATGGTAAACCTTTGGCCTGGCAGATTGCTACCAAGGTTCTTCTAGGGCTCAGGGCTTCCAGGGGAAGATAAAGGATTAGATTTGATTTGGTAGATCTGGATTCAAATCCTGATCCTGCCACCAATATGTGACCTGTGCAAATCACCTGACCTATCAAGAGTCTCTGTTTCCACAAATAGAAAATAAGGATGGTATTTAACAATTCAAAAGTCTGTTGCCAGGATCAAATTAGATGAGATAATCCAGAGTTGCTTCCTCTATGTTGCCTTTCTCTTTCCTGCCCTCTCATTTAATGTTGCATGGGATGTGTCTGAAGGTGGCAGGGAGGTTTTTACCCAGAGGTGACTCATTTCCTCTATAGGATGAATAGGAAGGAATTCCCAGGCAGTCAAGATGTGACTGCTGTATTAGTT